CATTCACCATTTTGAGGAGTCAAATGAAATAAAATTGCTCCCTGTTTCTTTGTTGCCAACGTCAAGTTGTCAACAATAAATGCTTCCTGCCTAGTGTCCAGATCAGGCATTAATCGTATTATCAAAGTCACCTCAGCAGCCTTGTTAAGCCCATGGCCAACCAGAGGCTTAACAGCATCATCCCCATATACAACCACTTCATTTCGACAAAACTTAACAATTTGATCCAATTGTAGCTGTATGACATCTGTTCTTCCGAGAAACCTGACACACCCATAACCAATCCTTCCAACCATGAAATTAGGAACATGACTGCAATAACCAGGATCCAAGAGTTCACGCATTGCCAACTCCTTTAAAGATGGTTCCATATAATAATCAGATGAACACAAGGTAGGTAAAAAACTTTTAATTTCTCTCAACGTCTCAAACTTCAACACATCCATATCTATACAGATCCTTTGTTTTTTTTGTGAATTAGAGGTCACAACAGGTAAGTCCATTCCACTATAATGACAAGGGGTCACCTAATATACCAAGAATCCCTGCTAGCAGGAAAAAAAAAAGAAAAAAAAAATGAATGTTGGCACTAAATTTTAAATGGAAATATCACAAAAGCAGCCGAACAATTGACAACTGCTCTCTTCAACTTCATTCGATATCAGAAGAAAAAGAACTGCCTTGGTAGAAAAGAGAATAAACACCAGTAGCCCACCACCCCAAGCTCTGCCAAAATCATATATCCTGAAAGGACTGGACACCTCATAACTCATGATAAAGATGTAGAGGCAACCATTAGCTAAAAACTGAAACTAAAATTAAAACTAAAACTGTACCTTGAGAGACAAAGGCTTCAATAGAGAAGTATCAAATCCAGGTTTGAACAACTCGCAAGACATCTTGTCTGAGAAGCACCAGCCCCACGCAACTTTAAGAACAGGGTTTCAGCCCCTATAACAGCAAAGTTGAATTCTAAGTGCCGTTACAGATGTACAAATATATGAATTTGCCTAATGCTGACGGCGAGGCCATACCCAACCCGATTATTCGAGCTCTTTAAACAAGACCGCCAAAAAAATGGAAATTTCTGCGCCCTCCACCCAGCCCGCCCTAACCATACACGGCCTACCCGGCGCATCACAGAGACAGGGAGCAAGAACGTAAATAGAGCATATTGAAGCTGAATGACTAAAAATTCCCTTGCAAACTCAAAGGCTCGTAACAGAATGCTCAACGAAACCATGAAATAAGTCCCAAAATCATCTAGTGAAGTAAACCTAAGCAAAGAAAAAGAATCGACAGCTAACAGGGGCAAGAAAGGAACACCCCACCCCCCCCTCCCACCCCCCAAAACCCCCGGCAAAAAAAAAAAAGCAGTAACATTTTGGAGAATCAATTGAAATCAAAAGCCACAATCACAGCAAACAAAAGGAGCAAGGAAAATGAACAGATGCAATGGTGCTGAATGGAACCTTACCAACTTTGAGCTGGAACGACAAATGCTGGTGACTGAAGGCAGTGAAATGCGGTTCGGTACTTCGTGTGAAGGCTATTGCTGGAAAGATTCTGGGCCACTTGGCGTGGGGAAGACCACGACCCGGCGCCGATAGCGACTGGAGGCGGATAGGAAGGATGGGGATTGACAGATGCAAGATGGGTTTAGTTCCGACATAAGAGAAAAGGGAAGCAAGATGATGATTTTGGGTTTCTGGTTTACAAATCTATGAAACCAGCAAATTTAGACAGAATTTAAAACTCTCTCCTGCAAAACGAAAACAAAAGAGAGGGGAAGCTGAGACTGAGAGCCGCCGAGAGAAGCGCGGCCAGTAGTAGGACCCGAAATTTGGAAGAAGAAATTAATGAAAATAAATTAAAACGGGCCTTAAGAAATATCAAAGCCCAAAAATGAACTGCGCATTTTTTTAAATGTTTGTGTGAATGTTTTAAATTTATTTTGTTTTTATATTTTAATTATTTAATATATAAAAATTTTCCATAAAACTATATATTAAATGCACAATTTAATTTTGCCTATAAAATTACAATTAGTTAATATTACAATATTATTTTTATTCAAACTTAAATAATGATTATATTGTAGTCTATTCATATTCTATAAAATTAATATTTCAATCAACATTAATATAAACATATTTCCTCAAATCAAATTAAATCTTTAAAAAATTATTTAATTTAATTGTATCAACTTTTTTAATAAATATGTTAAGATAAAATATGTTAAAATATTAAATATATACGTAATTAAGTAGTCTAACAGAGTTTACAATCTTATTTTATAATAAATCAAACTTAAGTCAAATTTTACTATCTAAACAGTTTGCCTTTAAACTAAACTTGTGATTAATAATTTTTTTCAGTTATTATTATTATTATTATTAAATAAAGAGATAATAATTTTTTGTTATTATTATGATTTATATATTTGTTGTTATATAATTAATATTGTTTTCTCTTTTGCTAAGGTATTAATGTTTGTCCTCCTTTTCAGTCTAAAAAATTATATATTTATTAATAAAATATGTAAAAATGAAGAATATGAAGTTATGAATATCTTTTGAACTTTCTAAAAATTTTCTCTTGATAGTTTGTGCAGTTAATATTTGAATATATCCAATTGAATTCTATGAATGTATACATATAGACATACTTGTTAATCTCATTTTCTACCATATAAGTACAAAGTCATCTTATAGTAAGCACAATTGGTAAATGATAATGACACACATTATTGATCTTCTTTGTTATTAATTTCGCACTCTTGTAAATAGTATTTATGGGTTATTGGCTTAGAAGATTAGCTTATGATACCATTTTGATATCAATGAATCAATTTGATCTTCTTACTTTACTACCCATGTATTGAATAGAAGCTTGTTAACAAGTTTACTTGTTACTTATATTTTTTTTATAATGAAATGATTTTATATTTTTGTCTTTCATTGACAATAAAACTTTAATAATATCATTTTGTTGGTTATATTTAAGTACTTGGAAGAAAAAATTTGAAAGTCATTGTCTACCATGTTAAGATGCAAAGCCAA